GATCAATGGCGACTTGGTGGAGGGAAACGCCGAGAAACACGTCAAGTCATACTTGGCAATGCTGCTCCGATTGCGTCAAGCTGCGACTCATCCTTTTCTACTCGAAGGCATGATGGCTGACTACTTCTCTCTCAAAGACTTGCGGATTACCAAAGAACGACTCGCCAAGGTCAAGGGAAAGAAAACCCTGTATGCTCAAATTGGCTCTTGGACCAAGAGACACCAGATCTCCAATGAACGGATGAGACAAGTCATCGCAGAAGCCCAGCGGATACAACAGCTTGAAACTGAGGGGTTTTCGAGAAAGGATATGCTCGATGATGCAGATACTGAAGATGACAGCGAGGACGATTCGGAGTCGGAGGATCCCAGCGGCGAAGCCAATGCCGACCAAAATGCCGCCGATAACGGGGAGGAAGTCGAAGAAGATGTTGACAGTGTGGACGAGGTCGAAGAGGACGCCGATGGCATGGTCCCTGAAGAATACTTGAATCCTGGACCTTCGACAGGCAACGGCATTAACACAGCAAACACACATCCAGAAGTTCCCCCACTGCGACCATTTGGACAGAGCAACTTCGGACTGAACTTTGACATGGACCCGCAGCTGGACTACCTGAAACGGTTGAAGGAATTGGAGTTTGCAAAATGCATGGTGTGCAACAGCGAGCCCCCCGAAGCCCCGATCAAAGGACAGGTTAGTTGATTTGGCGTCATGTTCCCATTTCTGCCATGAATACTAACGTCAGTAGTGCGGCTGTGCATTTTGCACCAGCTGCTTGATTGACCACACTACGAAGAAGGTAAGCATCCTTCGAAGTCTTTTGTAGATTCGTTACTAACGGTCCTACAGAGCAAAATATGCCCCGGCTGTCGCAATGTCATCGGCCAAACCAAAGTCATGGATGCCTTCCACAGTGGCGACACGGATGATGAAGACGATGCGGCACACGGTGACAAGAAAGCGAGCAGCAAAGAATACACATTCGGTTTCGACTGCAACAACTTCCAGCACTATGAGGAGGATAAGAAAGGAAAGAAACCTATACGATTTTTACAACTCAGCGACAAGAACCCTGACGCTCCCGTCACGCCCAGCGCCAAGATGACGGCCCTCAAAGAGACTGTCCTGCGCTGGCAGGCAGAAGCTCCAGATGACAAGATCATCAGTAAGTCACTTCACGCCTTGAAATCTAGATGCAGCTAACGATTTATTCTCGCACAGTCTTCAGCCAGTTCCATCTCGTAATGAAGATTGCTGGCCGCATCCTGGAGGCAGAAGGAATTAAATATTCATACCTAAGCGGCAGACAAAATATCGATCAGCGCGAAAAGGCCGTCAAAGATTTCCAGGAACGCAAGGATATCAAGGTCATGATCATTTCTCTGCGAGCTGGTGGACAGTGCCTGAACCTGACAGAAGCGAACCGGGTCATCTTGATGGAGTTGTGGTGGAACCATGCCGTCGAACAGCAGGCCTTCTCCCGAGTCTTCCGAATTGGCCAAGACAAAGAGACTCACTTTGTGCGATTCATCGTCGACACCCCGATAGAGAAGCGCATGCTTCGGATGCAAGTCGGCAAGATCCTAAAGATTGATGCAGCCTTGCAGGACGACTCGGTCAGAGCCCCGAAGATTCGCCTGGCTGACATTGCCTCGCTTCTTGGCAAGGTTGTCAAAAAGAATGGCGTGATCGAGCGCATTGCGCCTGACTACTCCGACGGTGAGAATGATGATGATGATGACGAGGATGATGGCAAGGCTCCAGAGCAAGAGGAGGAAGAAGATCTTGAGGGCTTTGTTGTCAAAGATGGCCAGGTCGAGTTTGAAGATGAAAACGCAGAGGACGGCGTGATCCATATCGACTCTGACTCGGATTCTGATGACGACATGGAATAAGTTCGACTTTGGGGAAGGTCTTCCGACAGGACATCCACGATGCAAAGGCCACAGAACCGGTCCTGATTCGGGCACATGCATATTCAACTTTATTGCGACCATCAGCATACTCTACAACACTTTCATTCCATTATTTCACATCAAAATTGCATTTGACATTCGAGCAACATTTCACTTTTCTTTCTTTTTCTTTTGCCGCATCTGACGAGTTCAAAGTCAGCATTGCAGTGGCTACAGAGGCCGTACTTAATTTGGGAAGTATTTGGGAAATCGGTCTCACGGGATAACTCAGGAACATGGGAACATTGGGAAAGGGAATCTGACGGCTTGGATGGCATTTCGCGAGGACAGGAGAAGAGGGAAGCACTATTTCACATCATGTCATGGCTTTCCGCCGCCCTACCTGGTTTCTTATCATAGATACACTCTCATAGATGGAGTGCTGATGTTCCCAAGAGCTACTGCAAATACAAAAGTTTCTGCTTTATAGAATCGTGTTCCTAAAGAATGATGTCATTGTTAACATAGAAGTCGATCGTGAGTATCTATCCAAAGTCAACGCATTGGTTAAGTTGAGATTGTGGGCAGGTCTTGCACGCATATTGCTGAGTCGGATGTTTCAAGTATTGGGTATTGATTGATAGTGTAGCCCAGCAGATACCGAGAAACAATGGCACGAGGAGGGCCATCATGTGTCTCTCAAGAGACCCAAGAGTCATCTACAATTAAAAGGTCGGCAGCGTTTGTTCTCTTAGCCCTCGGGAAAGACCCCATGTCTAAGCTGAGGACTCTACAGAGCCAAACAAAGATGCTAGACCGGGTCGCGAACCAGAACAATGATAGGGGCGTCTTGAAAGACAATGACGACTTCGGCGTATCAAAGGCGCGGAAAAGTAAAGCCGTTGAAAAAGTAGAAAAGGACATTGACAGAGAAAACGACAGAAAGGATGATAGAGACGAGCACTAAGACGACGATGAGGAGGAAGAGAGGCGTAATGAGTCGCTGACGGATTTAGTCGCCAGCTTCAACTCATGGCTTCGTAGGTGGCGGCTTCGCGAGGAGTGGATATCGTATGCTGTGGTCTAAACATTACGGAATGGTCTGCCCGAGTCGAAAAAGGCATGATTTGTTGCTGCCATTTGCTAGGGAGGCATATCAGCCTTACAGCGGTACTTGCAGGCTGCTGCTTGTGTTCTGCATGAGACATGCTGGTCACATATCCAAGACACTTATGCCATATTCTGCACCATGGCGTCTTGCAAGGGCTTATAATTGGCCCAAGCAGCATTGAGGGCGATTAGACTCAGCTCGCCACAAAACGGCTTGCGTAGATCTGCAGTCTATTCGCCCCCTTTGAAGACTTATCCACAGCCATGCCATTCCATTCAATGGACAGTGTTTTGGTTGCCTTGAATATGGCGTAACTAGGATCATTCATCTTATGTACACTCGATCTGCGGTAGGCCTAAGATGCGATGTATTCCGCTTTACGTCTGACTTATGACCTCTCATTCCTCTGCGATTTCCGGCAAGTTTATGGGAGCCATGTTGTTCACCTGAGGCTCCGGTCCTGATATTCTCTGAAGACCGACAAAAGGAGTACAACTTTCTTTACACATTGCGTTCATTCAAGATGGAAGAAGTCCAGGAGCCATCGGCATCGTCCGTCAGAAGGAAGCCACTTCCTTATAGTGCTTAGACACTCGACAGGGGCTCAAACACCAGCCACCATCCAACAGAATCTCAATATCCAGCTCGGCATCAGCAAAACACTTCTACTCATGATCCATCCCTAGCGCTTTCGGCAGATGATCTGAGATTTCTGCTCGATAACAGAGACTCGCTGGAACAAGACAGAGTTGTCGCAAAGTCCAGCCCAACTCATGACTAAAAGTCACGACAAATGCTCGTTCAAAGGACGAAACAGCCAACGGACATGATGACAGGATAGTTATCTGAGAGAAGACACGATGAACCGAGATCATGGGGTACAACCCTTCTCGCTTGGTGGCAGGAGCTTCCTTTGTGCTTCGCCAGCATCGTGCTCGTAGCCACTCTGGCTGGCGTGCTTCTCCATTCCGACAATCAGGGACTGCCATAAGGGCCGCTGGGGCTGACCCTGAGTACCGCCGTCGCCCTACTATCCACGCTCGCCCGTGCTGCGTTTTTGATACCTGTAGCCGAAAGCACTTCGCAGCTAAAGTGGCTCTGGTATCGCAAAGAAAGATCTTTGAACGATTTTCAAGACTTCGACAAGGCTAGTTGGGGGGCATGGGGGGCAATCCAGTTTGTAAAGACAACGAAAGGATGGTGTGTGATTATGAACCTATCGACAGTTTTTTTTACTAATTGATCTGGCTTCCAGGTCACCTGGAATCTTCTCGATGGTCCTTCTCGTCAAAACCTGCGCTATCACGAGCTCGATTCTGTCATCCTTCTTTGCAATAGAGATTTGCTATTTGGGCAGTGTTATCTGGCTATCCGGGCAGTATTCACACACACGTAAAACCGTAGCTTATTTCTAAAATAACTATATTTTTTATTCTCACTTTTATCGTCTATTATTATTATTATTATTATTATTATTATTATTATTATTATTATTATTATTATTATTATTATTATTATTATTATTATTATTATTATTATTATTATTATTATTATTATTATTATTATTATTATCGTTATCGTCGTCGTTATCCTTATTGCTACTTCTTTCGTTCTCTCTATAATCACGAATTATAAGGGACACTGCCCAGATAGCTAACTAACACTGCCCGACTAGCAAAACTCTTGCAATAAATTCACAGAATAAGCATGCTCTAGAGCAAGAAGGCACTAGAAGCATTCAGCAAAAGGAGATGGAAAGCATGATACGAAACAAGTCTGGAGCAGGTTGGCGCCTTGGGCTGACAGAGTGCGGTTGGATTCTCAAGCGATGAGAATGGAGTTATATCTGTCAGATAACCTCGCTCACAGAGTGGGTAGACTCTGCCTATGGCTGTCGGATGATCATCCTTATTCCTGTCATATCAATTGGTAACGATCAACTACATAACATTGCATTCCTAACATGTATAAGCGGCGTGGAATTCATGTGTCACTCCTCCGGGTTGTTCTCGGGGGCTTGCGAGGGCTCTTTCTCCGGCTTCTGGCCATAGACAGAGTAACTAGCATGGTCAGTACTCATATTACAGCATCTTGAAATCCGATACAAGAGTACACTTACACGTCGTAATAGGCGTGGACGTCCACCCTCTTAAGTTCATTTCGAACCTCGGCACAGAAGACTGTCGTCTCCGGGACACTCCAATCAAGCACACGGGTGAATAGAGCCATGGTGATGGCTTCAATCCCCTGCAACGCCGACTCCTTATCCCATTCGCCCAACTCTTTGTACTTCGGGTCCTTTGGCCAGGGTGTATAAGGCCACTTCTCCTTCTTCACGACGACATCGACAAATCCAGCGTCCTCGAGCATCTTCTTGAAGTCTCTAGCCACGGTGATTGGTCGGCCCATCAGATCAGTTCCCTCAATCAGCAGCTTCGTCCACTTGAGGGTCTTGCATTCGTCCGTCATAGTTCCGTCGTCGCACTTCAATGGAAAGTCGTTGTCGTGTATCTCGAGGTAACCGCCGGGCTCGAGATTGCTATGAGGTTGGTGTCAGACCGGTCGATTGGAATTCAACATTGGCTTACGCATAGGCCTTCGCAATCATGTCTGGCCAGCTTTTGAAACTGGCGATCATGGCCCTGATGAAGATGAAGTCGAATGGCGTCGTCCAAGTCCATTCCTTCTCAACGTCATCGACTTCGAAACTACAGTTGGGCGACACGCTAGACAGAAAGCATTCTTAGTACAGCAACATCATAGTGCTCAAATAGACATACTAGCCAGGTTGAATAGGGCTGAGATCAACACCGATGACCTAAGGCCAAGTCAGTGTTTGGACTTGTTTGAGATATTCCTTTAGGAAACCTAATGGCCTACCGTTGCTTCTGGATGGTCGTCCGCTGTCAAGTGTCAGCTTCGTATCTTGCCACGCAATGGGCCGAGGACAGCTAACCGAAATCAAGGGCCCAAATTCCCGTTCCAGTGCCAACATCCAAGACCCTTTTGGCACCGTCTTTCTTGGGACAGTTGCATAGCTCGCCGTCCCATGTCAGGGTCCAAAGATGGTGGGTAATATCTTCATGTGGCCATCCCGCGTCAGTGCTGCACGCACATGTGCCAGAGTTCACTTACCTAAGCGATCTTGCTCTCGCTTGACGGACCGCTGTTAGATTGTTCAATTGAAGTCATATGCGATATCCATTCCTACCTCATCGTTTGGAAGAACATATTCTAGCAGGTTCGGTTAGTCGGACCGCCCATAATGGGACGTAGAAGACTTACTGCCGTCACTAAGCCGGTGATACGTGCGGCCATTCTCTCTTCGATAGTCTAAGATGCTTGATCTCAGAGACGCCAATGAGTCCCGTGTAGACTATGGGCTGTCAGAAGACGCATAATCATCGAGGCCATTATCGCGCAACCTACCGCATCGCCGACTGAGGATGCCTCGTCGTCGGTATGGGTGTCCTACGAGATATCAAATGAGTCGTGTCGTAACGGAGTAGCTGAATGGGCACAAACCTCAGCTTGAGGGTTGTCAGCGGTGGGCTCGATCATCCTGCGCCAACTTTCTCAAGTTCAATGTCGTTTCTTAATTCAGGAAACTCCAACAGACGGGAGAAGTGAGGGGAAAGTTGGCTCACCCCACCTGGTTTGATTGTTTGTGGTTGTTGGTTCAATGCATGCGGGTTTGTGACCTCTTGATTGGACTACGCCGTTGGACACGAAGCCATCCTTGCAGATCGAGGCTTGGCTCTGGTTTCCGGAGCGATCCGTCGCACAGTCATTGCAGAAACTTCGCTTCCCTAAAGCAAATGATGTGATAGGTTTTCTGAATATCTGAGCTAAGATCCATCACCCTAGAATTCCTTCGTCTTTGCCGCCTCTGTCATCCCTCCCATCTTCTGCCCTGGGTTACTGATTGAGGTTGTTTCATTAGTCGTGGCATGCTTTGCCAATGGAATAGGAAAGCTGTAATTGAAAGAAGTCAAACAGGAAAGATCTCTTCCTCTCGAATATCCAAACAGATCATGTGCCCCGGAGCGTGCCCCATGACTGTGCCGTTCAAGTTCGCCTTCATGACAGCTTCTTGTGGCGTAACTCCACATCCCCAGAACACCGGAACATACTCCTCATCATCATGCCCAAATAGCGTCTTTCCATCATCCTTGACGGCAGGATCTCCCCACTGTGGCTTCGTTACATCTGTGACCCCAATTCTTGCAGCCCCGTCCCATCCCCAGGCAACTGGCTCCCCATGCGTCGCCACGAACGGTCTTGTGATATCCCTAACCTTCTCGACATCCGAGACCTTGTATGGCCTCATAGACACGACATACGTCGCTCCTGTGAAGACACCCGCCGCGCATAGTGGGATGTTGGTGCGGTACATGGGCACGTTGCGGTTGTGCGTCATGTGTTGTGGCGTGAGGCCCGCATCGTGAAGGGCCCTCTCGAAACTGAACGAACATCCGATCAGGAACCCGACGTGATCGCCGTCAGCCCATTGATCAGCTACATTGACAGGTTCAAGAGCGCCGTTGATGGAGACGTGTTTGCTGTTCTCGTAGACTCGGTACCGGGGTGCGTCATGACGGAGGTCAACGTTCTTGGCTACGGGGAGAAGACTCTTTCCATCGATGCTTTCGACATATGACTTGAGCTTGCTAAAGTCACCTGGGCTTTCTGACTCGGCGAGAAGCGGGCATGGAACGGGGTTTCGGTGGCAGAGGAGTCGGAAGTCGTCGGCATAGCGCTTAGGCAAGACGATGAGGTTTGCTTGCAAGTGGGTTGGGGCTTGGCCGGCCGTGGTGGTCTCAAAGACACCTGAGCGACACGCAAGACGATGGTCCTCGCCCGTCTTGTAGACTGCGGTCATGATGAAGAATGATAAGATTTGGTAATGAAAGGATTGAATTGGAGTGAAGTATCTCTAGTCGGGTTGAATAATGGCAGCCACGGAGTTGAGTAGCTCAAGCCTGCACAAATTACGAAACTTTGGAAATTTTGAAAATTGATTAAACCCAAGTAGAACGGGTTCACTTATCAACGGGTAAGAGCATTCTCTCTCTTATCAAGATCGGGTAAACGTTGGCGATGATAAGAATGCGGCCAACTCCCGAATTGCGGGGTTCACCCGGCAGGGCTATCAGCGGAGACCCACTCCGATCTCCGAATCCAGTCCGGTCATCGGACCCATTCCCCGAGGCGAAGTATCTATGCATTGGACGTGGGGGAGTCAGTACATACTCATAGTGCCTGTTCATTGCCTGTTTCCATGCGTACCCCAGATTTCGGGCCTCGGAACTGTGGCCGGGGACCCATCCCGAGCATCTCGCTAGAATGGTGATTGGAAATAATGACAACACCTGTACCGAAGAATAAGATTCATATTGCTCGATTCCAAAAGAATGGCTACAACAAAGGAACTGAAACAAAATCATGAACGAACCAAATGTGCTGGAACAGTTCTCAGTCCGCATCCCATCTACAGCGGCGCTGAAGTGACGTAGGCGCCGAACATAGCACTCCGATCACCATGAACATCCGCCTCGTCAACAAGCCCCCGAATCTCATTCTCTTCGTCGGCGCTCAGCTGGATCTTCAAAGCGCCGAAGTTTTCTTCGAGGTATGGAATCTTCTTGGTGCCCGGGAGCGGGATCACATCATCCCCCTGCGCAAGCAGCCACGCAAGGGTGAGCTGTCCGGCACTACACTCGTGTCTCTTCTGCGCAATGTCCGCAAACTTCTCCACAAGCTCGATGTTCTTCCGGAAGTTCTCGCCCTGGAATCTCGGGATTTGGCGCCGGAAGTCTGACTCCTCGAAGTCATCCGCAGATTTGTAGTTGCCCGTCATCATGCCCCGGCCCAGAGGCGAATAGCAAAAGACTGTGACCCCGAGCTCGCGGCAAGTCTTCAGAAGGTGGGTGCCGGCAGGACCCTCGATCTCGAGGGACCATGGGTTATACTCAACCTGCACCGCTGAAATTGGGTGGATCGCGTGCGCCCGGCGGAGAGTTGTGGAAGAGCACTCCGAAATCCCGAAGTATTTGATCTTGCCCTCACTTGAACCAGTCGTCAGCATCAAATATCCACGAAAGTCCAGGTGTGTAAGTCTCACTTCTTCAACTTGACCATCTCCTCAATAGTCTTTTCAATCGGAGTGACCTCATCCACACGGTGGACGTAGTACAGGTCAATGTCCACGCCCAACTTCTCCAGACTCTTCTCGCAAGCCTCGCGGCAGTACTCGGGCGAGCTATCGGGACGGATGTTATACGTGCCATCTGACTGGACCGTGCCGCGTAGGCCAAACTTGGTGGCGAGGAAGATGTCGGCGCGGCGCTCTGGGTGCAGCTTGAACCACTTGCCGACCAACACCTCGTTGTCGCCATATAAGTCGGAGGTATCCCAGTTCGTGGCGCCAATCTCCCATGCGCGGTCGAGAAAGCTCAGACGCTCGTCATCAGAACTTGTTCTTCTGGTCAGCCGTCAAATAGCATATCATGATAGGTGTAGAACTAACCCAGGGGTGCCATAGGCCACGCTCAAGCCCATGAGACCAAGCCCAAGAGCGGTGATCTTGGGCCCGTTCTGGCCAAGCTGGCGGGTTGGGAGACTTGCGGGAGGAGCCATTGCTGTAAGTATGGGGAGTACGGAGTGATTACTCAGGTAAGTTTGATATATAGAAAAGCTTGAGGCGCGTTAAGAATGGTTTGAAGGTGAACTGCATTAGCATGAGGCTCTTCATCTTTTCATCGGGCGCGGCGAGGAATATATACACTATTCGGAAGTGGTGTCGACGCAGTCTTGCTAAATTGAGTTCATGAAAGCTCCACTAGAGACCATCGCTTCCGACGGGATGTCATGCACGATTCTAGATCTCCATGTCTAAAGTCCGGCGATGGTACAGAAACCACTGCCTTGCAGTGGCTCCCGCCTCCGCAGCCAGAATAATACCTCTTAAGTTGAGCCTTAAGCGACGCCCTAGCTATGGTTGATGCAAAGTTCAAGTTCTCGTTAGGAAATTGTGCCTTTGAAGGTTGTTTACAAGTCGGACAGGACGTTGGTTGATAGGCTGCATCTGAAGGCGGGTTTAAATCCGGGGTTCGGACTTTGCGGCCGCTGCGGCCGCATCTCCCGCATCGCCCGTAAGGACTCCGAGGAACCGTCCCGTCTGCTCATACCAAGCGGTTGCCCAATTGATGGCCAGTAGCATGGAAGAAGACCATGCTCCTCATTCCTCAACCAATAGGCATTGTTCAGATTTGTCTACAAGTTAGAAAAATCTGCGAACAAGGGGTTGTCAATAAGAAAAGAAACACCGATGGTGTGCTGACCAACCATTCCTTTTGCTTTGTCTTGATCATACAGAGAACAACCATTTGCACAGAAATCTACACAAGCTGATATGGCCTTCTTTGTGGGGGCTTACCTTAAGAGAACATGCGCCATCTTGGCTCTTCTCAGGAGACCATGTATCCCTATCCCAGCCACGTCACGAACTGCTGTACCAAGATCTAGCAAGCCAAACCAACATCTCTTCCGAAACCTTCAACCTCCAGAGTCACCATGCTCACCCACCTCCACTATGGAATCCGCGCGCTAACCTTCCTAACCTATCTCCCCTCCCGGCCCCTCGAGCGCTGGTTCTACCGCTCCGACCTCTCCACCGCATACCACCTCATCTCCACCGCCTCCATCTACATCACCCTCTGGCTTAACGCCTACATCCTCATCCGCGCCACCGGCCTGCGCGCGCACCTCTGCAGGCTCCGCGAGCACGAGAGCTGCGAGCGCATCGGCCGCATCAACCGCCTCCTCCTCGACGCCTACCTCGGCGGGTTCTTCCTGCTGCCTAACCTCTGCGGCCCGATCTACGTGTGCTGGTGGCTGAACCCGCACAACCGGCAGCTCGACGAGCTCGCGCACTTGTATGGCTTCTGGATCGGTGTGTGGCATGTCCCGCTGCTTCTGAGTTTGAGTCTGAAGTTGATTCTGCCTGGCGTGTTTGGTTTGCTCGTCTGGGCTGTTGGGAAGATTTCGGAGGGCGTGTGGTGGGCTGCTGACATTTTGCAGGAAGGCCCGGCTGCGTTGATACAGGGGTTCTTGAAGCGCTTGAGGGAGTTCCTGCTCGCCGCGCCGAGAACGATATGCGACGGGATCGACCGCAAGGTGCTAAGGTCGGAGAGTAAGTATTTGGTGTTTGCGGTGTGGTTGGCCATGGCCGGGTACTGCGTCATCCTCTACGCCATCTTTGTCGAAACATATCGGGCGTATTTGCAGAGAGCCGTGGCGCGCGTGCTTTCGAGCTTGCTTATGGACATCGGAGACCAGATCTTTGCCGTTGGCTATTGGCTGGAACGACTGGTGGTCGAGAAGGGGTTCTGTGGGGGAACGAAGAGATGGCAGATCGTCAGCTGGATTGAATGATGTGTCATTCGTTTCTGAGTATTCTAGGCACTATTAAACGTCAATGAGGTTCGTATAGAGCTTTGCAATCCGGGCCCGTTACCATCATCTCTGTCGTCCTCCTCCTCCCCTTTGTCGTTGTCGCCTTTACCGTCGTCCCTCACCCGCCCGGATAAACTCCTTAAGTTAGCCCGTAACTTTTTCGCGACACATTTGATGTCAGGTTGTAACGTGATGTAGCAAATGAGTAGATCAAGCAAGTCATTTTATAATCCCTGGGTATACAACTCCAGTCCCTATTGGGGAAAATACAAGAGTAGTAGTGCTCCTCTGGGGCAGCATGCCATACCTAGGACACACAAGCCAATCCTTGTGGTCGTCCATCTTCCAAACCAATCATGCCACGGTCGGGCACATCTAAGCAAATATCAATCAAGTCTCGCTATCCACACACTCTTTATGTCTAGAGACATCCGTTCGAAATCCTTAGCCGTACTCCAAGTCCATAGTAAGACAACATCGCAGACTCGAGGGAGACGAGTTGCCATAAATCGGTCGAGCATCATGTTCTCTCTTAAATCAATCATGCATTGGCCTGACCGGCAATCGTGATGCCGTCAGTGCCAGTCTCGATGACCTTGTAGCCATCGGCATTACCGGAGCCTTCGGCGGCCCTATCGTATGCTGCGTCACTCCTGTCCAAATGTTAGCATGATGTTTCTCACCAAAGTCCGGGGATCATCTTACCTATCGCAAAGAACATCAAGATCTTTGTCGCTCAGAATCTCATGAGAGCCCGAGTACTTAAAGACTTGACCATCCTTCAGCAACAACGTCTTAAGAGTCTTCTCGTCAAGATCTTCCTTCAGGTCCATCTTCTGGCCCATGGACTTGAAGTTTCCTTTCTTAATGACAAGCTTTTCCAAGCGGCGCTTGGCGTCCGCGCTCAACAGCAGTTCCTCCTCCACAGTTCCCTTGGTCGCAAGGCGGTAGACAATGACAGGGCGAGTCTGGCCAATGCGATGGCATCGGTCCTGGGCTTGGAGATCCTGTTGAGGGTTCCAGTCGGAGTCGAAGAGGATGACAGTATCGGCGCTGGCGAGGTTGATGCCCTGGCCACCTGCGCGGGTCGAAAGCAGGAAGATTCTGAACTCGGGGTTCTCGTTGAATTCCTTGATCTGGTTGCGACGGCTTTCCTGGCTGACTGAACCATCAAGGCGGCAGACGTTCCACTTGCGCAACTCGCAGTAGTCTTGGAGAATGTCCAGCTGCGTCTTGAATTGGGAGAAGATCAGGACCTTGTGGTCTTTCTCGAACAGCGTAGGAAGAAGTCTGTCAAGAAGCAACATCTTTCCAGAGGCCGTGACGATACTCTCATCAACAGGAGGCGCGCCTTCGTAGCTCCAAGGATCGAAGAAGTTGTGCGGGCTGTTGCAGACCAGACGCAGCTGCATGATTGGGTTGCCCAACTTCTTGGTCGCCAGTTCTTTCTTCGCGTGCTCTGTGATGCTCTTCTTGTACTGGTCTTCCACAGACAAGACAACATCATCCACGTCCTTCTCGTCTTCTTCAGCCTCTTTGACCAATCGAGCCTCGAACTCGTCGTCGGAGAGCTTATCCTCATCGTCGGCGTCAGTTTCGGCGTAACGGCGGCGACCTCTGGTGACGCGGCCTCGACTGGTGACAGAGGGGGTCGATTGACGCGATGACTTCGCGCTTTTTGGCTCTGGGGTTTCGGCGGTTGGCGGGTTCTTGCGCTTGGAACTTGAACGAGACGCAGTCTTGACGGGCGTCTCCTTCGCGACATCCTTTGACTTGGTTGAAGAGCTTCTAGCCCTGTTCATCATCGCCGAAAACGCGTTCGTCTTCTTGGGTTCCGAAGCAGCCTCCGACTTGGCCTTTCTAGGGCTGTTGCGGATGGGGATCTCGAGCTTCTTCACCGGCGTTTCCTCCTCTGCCTTGACTTTCGGGCGGACGCTTGCTTCGCGGGAGCTTGGGGTAGACTTGTTCACTGCGGTGAGACGCTCGACGACCTTGTTCTCGAGGAAAGTGCGGGTATCGACCTTCTTATCCTGAATCGCGTTGTACATGTCCGTTTGCTCCTTTGTCATGGGAGCAAACAGGATGTATTCCCGCTTATTGGGCAAGTAGGCGGCGACATCTGCCTTTACTCGACGAAGGAGAAGTGGCTGCAGGATGACATGGATCTTCTTGATGATCTCCTGGTTTTTGCGGTCCGCGATGAATTCTTCCGTGCCTTCTTCGTCCTGTAGATCGTCGAAGTCAAACCAACTCTCGAACACTTCCCATTCCTTGAAGATTCCCGGTAGCAAAAAGTGAAGCAGCGCCCAAAGCTCCTTGAGGTTGTTTTGCAAAGGCGTTCCTGTGATGAGCAATCTTGTGGCTGAGCGAAAATTCTCGAGCTCCTGGAAGAGCTTTGACTCGAAGTTCTTCATGCGATGACCTTCGTCCTAGACAAGAGTAAGCAATTTGCATCCAGGCTTGGAGGAGCCAAAAACATACAATAATGATGAAGGCCCAGTTGAACTTGGAGAGGGCCGCCTTCTCTCTCAGTACCATCTCGTAAGAAGTGCAGACGACGGGAAATCGCTTCGTTGGTTGGTTCTTAACGTAGTGCTTGGCGATCTGGTCTTTCATAACACGTTCTCGATTCTTAGGATCGCCGTGATACAGAACGACCGGGATCTCAGGGCACCATTTCTCAAACTCATCCATCCAATTCGAGAGCGTGCTCAGAGGAGCAACGATAAGATGCGGGCCTAAGTAATCTTCCTCTCGGAGCTTTGCAATGAGAGAGATGGTCTGGACAGTCTTGCCTGTGAAGTGTTAGTGTCCGGTCTTGTCATGTCAAAAGTGGAATGAGGCGACTTACCAAGGCCCATCTCATCGGCCAAAATTCCAGACATGCCTTGAAGACACACCTCGTACATCCATGTCAAACCCTCGAGTTGGTAGTCCCTCATCGTTCCGCCCTTCATGATCTTCGGTTGCGCAGCCATGGTCAAATCGTGGGCTCCTAGAGTCTCTCCCTCCAAGCTAGAACCAACACGTCCCAGAACCTCGGTCTTCTTGGTAAGGATGTCCGAGAAGGCCGCAGACTTGGCGAGGAGGTCATCCAATTCTTTGGCCTTTTTCTCTCTCTCCTCCTTGGTGAATTCGACCTTCTTCTTCTTGCGGCGCTTGGCAAGAAGTGCAGCTTTTCGTTTCTTCTCGGCAGCATCGTTAGTAGCTCTGACCTTCTCTTCCTCGTCGATCATGCGCTGAAAATCGCTGTCAATCGCTTCCACTGAGCCCTCTCTCGGGGGTGAGGAAGGGGCGCTGGTGTAAGGTCTCGAGGTTTTCGAGAGTACAGACTCGACGTCTGAAGCTGGTGAAGAGCTCATGGCTGCCGACTTGCAGAAACCTCTGCTGGTGGTTGTTGTTGCTCAAGAAGAAGGGAAAACGCAGGAGGTGCCAATCAAATCGATGACGAAGCTGCAGGTGCGACGCTAAATTGAGGTGGTTCGTGCGCCGCAGCGGCCGCGAATTCTGGTTCAAAAAGCGGCAATTGAGGATGGGATTGAGCCAAAAGTGAGCGAAATGAGGTTTGGGATACAAGGATAAGAGTCTGAAGAGAGATCTCAGGTTCTGAGAGGTCAAATGGAAAGAAAGGGGGGCGAGGAAGAAAGATGAATGGCAGGAAGGCCCGGGGTCTGTCATGGGGAAGGCGCGATCCGGGGGCAAAATTGAGGACGCGCGCCGACGCGAGACAAAGGCGGAGTCATGTGACTCCGTGTCACTGAACTAATTAAGACCCTGGTCGCTTTGTCCAGGCACCATCGTCATTCATCGGGCCATCGATGCCCGGGAAGATCGGGACAGAGATCGGGGTCCTGTTTTACTGCATTGATTCAACACAGGAAGCATGCCGGCGCCAATTGACCTCTGCAAGATGTTGTTACTCGGCGTTGAGACAAAACGACGAGCTTGAGAGCAATGGATCTTCCAATGAACAATGCATCATCTCAATCAGCAACTGACAAAGAAGCAAGCTCAGCGCTTTGACCATGATGCTTGTCCAGCTGAACTTGACTATCAGCAGGGGAGGGTGGCATTGAGAAATTTCTGCTGAAAAAAGAAACAACACTGGGAAGCGTACACCGAGACTCACCGAAGAAGAGCGAGGTGAGTCAGACCTGCCTAACCAATCAGGCAAGTCAGATGAATTTGGAGGGGCAGTCGCAGCGCCTGTCCGTGCTACCCCGCCAAAACCACACTAAAATTCTGTGATTCCTGACAGTACCCCTCCTCGCCCTTCGACTCATGAACTCCCTCCGCGTACTACGACCCATCACTCGCAGCGCATACCCCTTCCGCTTCGCAAGAATGGCTTCCAACACCTCCTTCACTCCCAACGAGGAGACCGAGATCCAGCAGTGGCTCACCACCGCCACTCGCCTCCAGCAGGCCACTGGTGACGATGCGTCCCCGATCCTCGACACCGTCAACTCCCACCTGAGCACCCGCACCACCCTCCTCGGTACCAAGCCCAGCAAGGCCGACACTGCTCTCTACTCCGCCGTCCGTCCCCTTGTTGCCAAGTGGTCTCCCGAGCAGCGCACCGGCGAAAAGGGCTACCCCAACATCGTCCGTCACCTCGACTTCGTCCAGAACTACCCCGCCTTCGCCGCCGATGTCAAGTCCGAGGAGAAGGTCTCCGTCAACCTCGATGAGGTTCTTTACGTGAAGCCACCCGTCGATGCCAAGGCCGAGAAGGAGCGCCTCAAGAAGGAGAAGGCTGCTGCGGCCGCTGCTGCTGGTGGAAAGGAGACCGCTCTCCCCGACCGCACCAAGGAGCCCAAGGACAAGAGCGCTGGCGAGAAGGTCAAGGAGGCCGTCACCGAGGCCAAGGACAAGGTCAAGGCTGCTGTCGGCGCCGGCGAGGGCAAGCCCAAGAAGGAGAAGAAGGCCAAGGAGCCCAAGCCCCAGAAGGCCCCTGCTCCTGCCGCCCCTCTGTCTCCCGCTCTCATCGACCTCCGTGTCGGTCACATTCTCAAGGCTATCAAGCACCCCGAGGCCGACTCCCTCTACGTTTCCACCATCGCCATGGGCGACAAGCCCAACGACGACACCTCCGAGTACGAGGGCCAGGTCTGCCGTACTGTCTGCTCTGGTCTGAACGGTCTCGTTCCCCTCGAGGAGATGCAAGGTCGCAAGGTCATCGTCGTTGCCAACCTTAAGCCCGTCAAGATGCGCGGCATCAAGTCCTGCGCCATGGTTCTCGCAGCCTCTCCCAAGCTCAAGGAGGGTGAGGTCGACGACCACAAGGGCCCCGTCGAGCTTGCTGCTCCCCCTGCTGACGCCAAGGCTGGCGAGCGCGTCTTCTTCGAGGGCTGGAAGGGCGAGCCTGAGGGTGTTCTGAACCCCAAGAAGAAGATCTGGGAGATGTTCCAGCCTGGATTCACCACCACCGACAACCTCGAGGTCGCCTTTGACGCCGCTGTTGTCAAGGAGCTTGGCAAGGAGGGTGTTGGCAGACTGGTCACCGAGTCTGGTGGTGTCTGCACTGTTCCCAGCTTGAAGGGTGCTACTGTCCGATAAAGGATGGGCTATTAATGTCTTTGAAGATTCATGATAAACAAAAGTTATGGCAGCTGCATCTGCTCTCTAAGAATTAGAGGAACCTTTTTCTTATGCGCAGTCCGCGTCCACTTCCTTGTGGTTTTGGTGAACTGACTTGGCAAGCAGGAATGGGCAGTTGTTGCCTCTGAATGCTAATGACACCAACCATCCCCCATCGTGACTACCCAACATCATATGGCAACCTATGTAGAAAGTCCAGCCAGGCTCTTCCCTTGATACCAAACCCTTTCCCGTGCTTTTTATCGTTGTCAACAACGTCAAACTTGCACCTCGCCCAACTCGACATCATCATCCGAGCAGCAACATCCATCCATCATACACTTATTCATAACACATACATCTCTCAGCATCGCCATGGCTCCCTCATCAGCCCTACAAAGATACATATGGCCAGCATTCTATTGTAGTTGCGCTGGAGCTGGTGTCATCATAATTCCACTTCTTTGGTATCACATGAATGCTCAGTACGGCAGAAATGAGCAGAAGAACAACTGGGACCCAGATACCGGCGAATCCATAGGAGGACCATGCGTGGATCCTCAGCCTCAAGGCCGCCGTACTTGGATGGAATACCTTTTTGGCAAGAAGCAGAACCCCGATCCTCAGTCTCGAGGCCCCGATACTTGGATGGAATACCTTTTTGGCAAGGAGAACCCCCCTCCTCTTCCGCCTCGCCCGCCTCAACCTGGACCGCCTCCCGAATGCCCTCCTCGCTCGGATCCCGCGGATGTTCCAACTCCCGAGCAGTGTCAATCTCAGCCTTCAGGCGTTCCCCCTGATTCTTCTACTCGTTCTCATCAACCTCCCCCTCTGCCTCCTTTTCCGACACTTCCACTTCACATTCCTCGAGAGTTGTCTACTTACCCATGCCTGGATGTTGCTCGTCAAATACCGCTTCCTCCGTCTCGAAATCTGTCTCCTATCTCAGAGCGCTCATCCGCCCCTTCTACTCCGTCTCCGACTTTGTCCCCGAAGCAGCCATCTACTCCTCCTCCTCCCCCGGCCTCGAATTTGTACCCAGAGCCTCCATGGGCTCCTCGCCAACAAGAACGGATTGGATTAACTCGCATTCCTCCCCAGTCACCAACTCCTGAACGCCCTCCTCGCGCGGATCCTGCGAATAATCCAAGTCCCGGGCAGCTTCAGTCTGGTCTTACCTCTGGCTCTTTTACTTGTCTTCGTCAAGAGGCTCCTAAGTCTTCTTCTCCGAAACTTCCACCCAATATTCCTGGAGATTGGGTTCGCGACGAAGTTCGTGACATACTAGATCGTCACCAAACTACACCTCGTCCTCCGTCTCGGGCTCTGTCTACTATCCCGGAGCACCCATCCACTCCCACTTCTCCGTACCAGTCTCCGTCTCGTTCCCCAGAGCTTCCAGCTCTTCCTCAGCATCAGCGACAGGATCCTCCGACTCACATTCCTCCCCGGACTCCGAACGTTGCCGGAGAAAACTCTGATTCGCCTAACCGCCCTGGGACTCCGCCACTCTCACATACATCCTGGCAGCAAAATTCATCATCGCCGGGGTCGCCCACTCCCGGTGCTAGAAGAGCAAATCAGGATCGGGATCGAGAGCGTCGCAGGCGGGTTGGAGGGCAAAGTCGGCGATGGAACGTGAGTTTTTGGTGCTCTTCACGTCATTTCAAGGCTAACGACCGCATGAACCCTTCTAGCCCTATCCCCATCGCATCAATTCAATCGATCCCAATAATACGAATGCTGCATATTGGAGCGAAGAAGACTACTCAGAAGATGAGCCTGAGGAAGGTGACGACGAGGATATTAGGGATGAACCCAAGAGTGATGATGACGGCCATGAGCCCATTACCGATGCCCCGCAAGATAAGCCCGTTACGGATACCCCGGAAGATGAGCCTAGAACGGACAGCCCAGAAGAGCCCAGAGAGGCTCAGGCCGACCAAGATGAAGCATTCCAGCGCTGGCCCTCTGACGCTCGCAACGACCCACCCGAGATGCAACGAACTCGGTTCAGGTGAGGTTCAAAGACTTTCCCAGGAACAGCCTCGACGTTCGGCCCAGAATTCCAGAGTTGGTCGAAAGGGCTAGACACCAGGTCTTGCCTAGCGACCGCATCCCGTATGCTTGGGACATCACAAAGACTTGCTTCGAGTCCTTGATGAGGGTGCGGAAAGATTCACGCGCTTTGCAATGGGGCCTAGCGCAGTTTGGCTCCTTCTCGGGCACTGAAGGCCGGGATTGGCTTTTATGTGGGAGAGCGAATACTAAATTTCGGACGTATGGTGTTCAATCATGTCACCTTTCTGGCGGCTCAGCGACATGCTTTGATAGTTAGAAGTGCAAGTAAGCGTTTGTTAGTATTGGACACCCATTATCAGCATAGCGATGAAACAATCACAGAATCAATCACACCTTGAACAGCTGTGCATTATGACCATGTGCTTTTATACATTCCAGTAACTTTTAGAATCCATCTAGGGTATGACCACACGCCTCAAATAAGCACTAAAAAGAGCCCTCCAACATCATCCTCTATTTCTTACCAGCCTTGGCCTTCCTCTTAACACTTGCAACAAGTCCGCTCAGCTCCGCGTCACCACCCTTGCTCTCCTTCTTGGCCTTCTTCCCGCTCCTCTCCGCAGGCACCTCGTCATCGCCAACCTTCCTCTTCTTCCTGCCCTCCTCAAGCAGCGTCTGCATCGCCTCGGTCTTCTTGAACTTGGGGTTGCTCGGGTCGATGGCGTACTCGTGGCTCTCGAAGACAGCCTTGAAACGGTCGTCGTCCACGTTGATCTTGAAGCCCTCCTGCAGACCGACCTTGTCGTCGTCGTCGTCGCCGCCGGCCTTCTTGCCCTTCTTGTTCTTGCCCTTGCCCTTCTTCTTCTTCGCCTTCTCTGCCTTGAGGATCTCGTTCATGTCGAAGTGGTCCAGGTGCTCGCCCGCCTCGTCGCCGTCGTCGGCCATGAGCAGCTTAAGCTGCGCCTTCTGCTCGGCGGACGCCTTCTCCTCGGCCTCGCGCGCCGCGCGCTTGGCGAGGCGCTCCTCCTTGCGGATCGAGGTCTTGGTCTTCTTGGGCGGCTCCTCAGTCGTGAAGAAGGGGTCGTCGAAGCCGAGGTCCTCCTCGCCGGCGGCGGGTGCGGCCTCTTCGACCTCGACGTCTGACTCGGCGTCGGCGGCCCCGCGCTTGGCCTTGGCGATCTCGCGCTTCTTCTCTTTGCGTTCGCGCTCTTTGCGCTTGTACTTCTCGATCGTGGTCTCCTCCTCGCCCTCCTTCTTGTCCTTCTTGGTTTCTGTGAGCGCGGGCGTGAAGGTGATCTCCATGTCGCCTACGGGGGCGTCCTTGGACTTCTTCTCCTCCTCCGCGCCGAGGCCGAGCATCGCTCTCATCTTACGGCGCTGGAGCTCCTTCTTGGACAGCTTGGGCTCCTCCTCCTTCTCTTCAGCCTCCTCTACATCCTCCTCCTCGACACCGGCGAGTGACTCCCCGTCATCTTCGCTGTCGCTGGCGAGGTACGCCTTCAGATCGTTCTCCTCGAGCTGGGCGCGGCTGCCGGTGAAGGCGCGGTTGATGGACGCCTTGCGCGCCGCGTCGTCTGGGTTGACGTCCCAGGTCAGCTTGACCTTGGAGTGCTGCAGCGCGTCGGTCGTGAACTCGACGGGCTTGTATCCCTCCGGCACCTTGTCGCACTCGTCCCTTGGCTCGTCGTCAAAGGTGACGTCGTCGGGCACGAAGCGCAGGTCGAGGAAGTTGGACGAGGACTGGTACTCCGTGCCGTCGGTCGCCTCATACACCTTCTGCGCGGTCGCCTTGTCGGAGCACGTCATGACGGCGTAGTAATACCTCAGGCGGTCAAGCTGGTACTTGCGCAGCGCGTCGCTGTCAAAGTCCTCGGCGTCGCCCTCCTCCAGCAGCTCCTTCTTGATCGCCTCGTCCTCCTCCTCCTCCTCGCTCTCCTCGTCGCTGTCGCTCTTGAAAATCTCCTTTGGCGGGCCCTCGAGCTCTTCCCTCTGCATGCGCTCCTTGCCGAACTCGCTCGGGTAGATGGCCACCTTCTCGATCCGCCCGCCGGTCGACGGCAGGAAACTCGTAAACAGCGCAAACAGGTCCGCCGACTTGATGTTGTCCCAGTCGAGATTGACAATCGCTATCCGCGTCGTGACCTCGCCGTCCTCGACCTCGGCCTGCTCGTCGCGCAGCCGTGACATGGACGCCTTCGGGTCGGCGGCGACCTCCGCCTCCTCCTCGTCATCGTCGTCGTCCGACGACTCGGATTCCGACTCGGACTCGCTGAAGCCGCCGCCGCGCGCCGGGTCGTATTTGGCATCCGCCTTAGCCAGCTCGCGCTGCACCACGTCGTCGGCGTCGACCTCCATATCACCACCGTCCTCCTCTTCCTCATCCTCCTCCTCGTCGTCATCTTCCGCCTCGTAGAGCCGTTGCAGCGCCTTCTTCTTCGAGTCGGACTTGATCTTGCGGCCGTAGCGGTCGACCTTTGCGGTGGCCGTGAAGGCGTCGTCCTTCAGCACGCCGGCGAAGCGCTTGTCGATCTTGGTCTTTGTCTGCTTCTTCGAGGGCAGGCGGAAGCGCGGGTCGGTCTCGAAGCTGGAGAACCGCGAGTCGGTGATCTTGCCATTCTTGCTTGATTTTGACATGGTGGCGGTGTTTGGGGTGTGTGGTCGTGTGGTCGTCAATTGACGGTGGTGTTGGGAGAAGGGGACCGGCTTTTGGTCGCGGGCGCATGGGAAGAATCCATGTGGGTGGGGTGCGACCGACGGTCAATTTTTTAGTGGAGATTTTGTGTTCTGCCGAAGGCGGTGTAGACTGACCGAGCTCACCGAGAGGTACACCGAAACATCACCAACTTCGATGGGTCCTTACCTCATCTGAAAACTAAGGACTGAGCGAGATGAAGTGAATAGTCATTTCCCCGTGTTGGAAATTTACATCAGGAATCATTGCACGAAGATCTCAATGCGATTGCCTCGACCATTAAGGAAGGCACAGCTCATTCGTCTTTGATGCCTTCCTTGTGATTATCATACTTAATGCCTAGGCCTTTCCCACTTTAAGGGTCTGAAGATAAGAAAGGATTGAGAAGCCTCCGTCTGCCTGTTTCTTTCCCATCTTGGACAATAATACCTCAGCCCCACTCTTCACCTACAGAGCCCTTATTTAAGTGATGGTCCTGCTTATCTATCTGTCACTGGTTCTTCCCCCAAGACATCGCAAACTCGTTGGCCTTCACCCTACCTACTAAATCTGAATTCTACCTGCTTTCTGGTTGTGGTAATCTGGAAGGACCAGACTTGCTCCGCTAGCCAATCAAGCGTGGTCGCCTCAGAGACATCAAGCTGGCTTCGCCCCTTCCTGAACTCCCAAAGGCTCGCGACTTCTCAGTCACACATCAGCTCTTTCCCCTTACCACATTCTCCTGACTATTTGGTCTCCGCCTGAGGTTCTTTTATTTTCAACTCAACTCAGACCTCTATAACCTCAACAACCCACCATCCTCCGACCACTTTCTCACCCTCGCCTTTCACAAACCATCGCGAATTAACCGTCAACAGACACCTCCGCCACGCTATCTCCAGTTTATCTATGACTCACCTTACTCTTCCGACTTTCTCTATTGCTAGCACCTTCATCCACTAAGCATTGGACCAACCTTCCTCCCCATCTCGTCTCATCCCATCCTACATCTTGCTTCTTTTCTCCTTCACATCAAGGTGAAACACTTCACCTTCACAGTTTTACTTTTCTTAACTAGGCCAATTTTGTGTCTGTGTGGACCTTCCTCACACGTTCTCAAATCATCTAGTTACTGCAACACACAACTGACATTGAATTCCACCACAAACACATCTTCATTTTCCCTTCATAACTCCCTCACTCGTCTTCCTACACTCCATCTTCATTATGGACAGCCTCCGCTCAGATGCAACTTCATCTGCTCCTGAAGGTTGCGTGAATCAACTCACCAACTCGAGTCCAGAGTCAGACAACTCAATCAATGATGACTTCAACCTCCTTCAGCAGTTACAGGATTTTGACCCCAGTCAAGAAACGATTCTTGATACTGAGACATCTCACAATCTTCACATAGCACCTTCAGACACAGCTCAATGTGAAGATGCGAACGAAACTCACAGTGACAGCCCGGAGCACGAGACGTCGAGCACCGAGGATGAAGATTCATCAGACTCGGAGCCAGAACTAGATGCTCCATCAGACTCAGAGCCGGAACCGAATGCGGACCCGTTGGACACAGACTTTGAACCAATGGAGGATGTAAAGGATGAATCGCCCAAGCCTCGCGACAAGCCCACAAGAAAGAGAGCAACAAGCACCGGGGTTGCAAAGACTGCCCAACAGAAGGTGAGGAAGAACCAGAGAAAGATCGACGAAATATTCAAGATTCACATCAGGAGCGAGCTGAAGAGGAAACGGGGCGCTGGATATGGCAACGTGCACATCGAACCGCCTAAGGCAAAGAAGATGAGAATGTCTTCTGCAAAGTCGGACAAAAAATATCAGCGAAGCATCGAAGAGAACTTTCATGACACCGGCAAGACAACTGCTCGCGCCACAGCCAACCGACCAATCACCCAAAAAGAAAGAAACGAGGAGCTGAAGGACAGAATCAGTCACGGCACGAACAACCGCCGAAGTGGAACTCAAAAGCGAGATCTCAAAGAGGCCACGAGCATCTTTGGCTACAGCAAAATTGTTTGCTTCCACAACGGAGAGTACTACCTCAAGGGAATGAGGGAGACCACCAAGCTCAGAGAGGAGCAACTTCCCGCCGTCTCATGGATGGTCCAGAGGGAGCACGGCATATCGCCTCCTTTTGGAGGAGTTCTCGGGGACGATGTTGGTCTCGGAAAGACAATGGTATCCATGGCTTGCACCGTGGGGAATCCTGCGTCGGCTGAAGACCTTCAAACCTACTTCGGTGCCACTTTGATCATTGTGCCGTCAACTGACATGGCTAAGCAATGGCGAGCAGAGTATCTCAAGCACGTTGAAGCCATCAGAGACAATGAGATTCTCATCTGGTCCAACGCTCAATGGAAGGAGTCAAGCGTGAACTTTCACAACTACAAGATTGTGTAAGTGACCTCGGCAGAACGATTTGGAAGCCCGGTTTGCTAACATTCATGTCAGGATCGCCACGATTACTGAGATTCGTGGAAACCTCACAGACGAAGAGCTGAAGAAGATTGAAGCGGAACACGGCATGGAAAGTGACGAGTATCGAGCTGCGCTGGTCAAGTTTGCCGGCCCAGTTTACGGCATCAAGTGGTACAGAATCATTCTTGATGAGGGGCACGCTGTGAAGAACATGAATACCCTATGTGAGTTGCAACATGATCAGAGATAATAAAGTCTCGCTGACATATTGGCAGCTTTCAAAGCATGTTACGGCCTTCAACGAAAAAGCTTTTGGGTTCTCACCGCGACTCCCCTGGTAGACAGAGAGACAGGTTTGCACTAGCTCACCAGTTTTATGGAGATTGTTCATGCTAAGTTGGTATTCAGAAATTTTTCCATATCTCAGGCTCGTGGGAGTCGAGGGCATCAACACCTACCAAGACTTCAAGGACAGCTACCTTGAATCTGTGAGTAATATTGAATCCCCGCAAATCAACTGGCAGAACAATTTGTGACTCTTTTCAAGTATGACTGCGATACCAAACTGGACGCCTTGATCCATTTGGTGACATACCGGAGGTGAGACACACATTTTTCATTCGTTTGGTGTCTGTGGGTGCTGACTCAAATCTTCAGAACGAAGAAGGATAAGTTCCTTGGCCGGTTAATCACGGGAGATCTGCCTGAGTTCGAATCCAAAGAGGTATGGGTCACTCTCAGCAGACATGAGCGGATGATCTACGAGTAAGTTTGGAGCCTGCGCTCATCATTATTGGGGTTCATATCTGACATGTCTTAAGCCTCATCACAGAACACTACGATGCTCTCGAAAAGCGGGAAGGACTCAGTCGGATAAACTGCCATCGCATGATGATTTCTCATGCTTGGAATATCGAGGGTGTCTTCAGAGATGATCTCAACCCTTCATTCTTGACGAATCTGAGAGACGGGCTTGAGGAATTGGCGGCCGACCCCTGCGCCATCCCCCAAGCCAGGAAGCTCCTTCACGCAGCTCCACCCAATGACCAAGACTCGGAACTCTTCGTCACTCAAGAGCCAACAGTGGGTACTAGCTCTTCCAAGTCGCAGGATGCAAAGACAAAGAGAAAGAAGAAGAGATCGAAGAAGACAGAGGAGAAGAAGTCGACCAAACCAAAGGAAGACAGGATTTTCCATACGGATTCGACAGACAAGACACTCGGCATGGACAATCTCCTGAAGTATACCATCAACGAGCAGATGGTGGACGAAGGTTGCACGAAGTGCGGGAAGACGTCAATCGACAAGCCCTGGATCATTTCCCAGGTAAGTTCATGATCATCCATCCTGCATCATCTTTACAATCCAGAAACTTACGATTCAATCTTTCCAGTGTCAACACTTATTTTGTCATGAATGTATTTCCGAGGACTGGAGGGAGGCGGACGAAACAAAATGCACGAATTGTGACCAGCCATACGACCGAAAAACAGGTGCAAGGCTGGTTGAGAATCTGTCTACCAAGGAGACAGAGTACGCTGAGGTTGACAGGGTGAGAGCACTTAAGGAAGCACAATCCGCACCTCCCACCGCGACTCTTACAAAGAGAACACCGAAGAAATCGAAGAGGCAGAAACAGCTCAGTGCCAGAGAGGAGAAGAAGATCGTCGCGGACTTCACCAAGAACAAGTACGGCGGCGATTATCGCGGTGTCTTCTTGGATCTGAAGGGCAAGGATAACGCTTTCATCAACATTGGAGTTCACGAGGCAGACGGTATGATTCCGCTCAGCTCCAAGACTGCGTGTGCCATGGACTACGTCCTCCAATTCCAGAGTGAAGCGCCCGAAGACAAGATCATAGGTACAGTTACGGCTTTCATTTGATTTGAAACCTGGGACATCGGATGCTAATCAAGTTACTTACGGCAGTTTTCCACGAGTTCCTGAAGACCGCGAAGATCCTCGGCATCGCTTTGCGTCAGTATGACATCCCCTTCTACTACTTCAATGGCGAAATGTCCGCCAAGAGCAGAGAAGATGCCATTACGTCTTTCAAAAACGACCCAAGCATCAAAGTCCTGGTAAGTTCCCTATTGCACATTCTTCAGTCTCCCTCCACCCGTGTGAAAAGAACCTGAGCTAACTCTCCACCACCAACAGCTCGCGTCCAAGGTCGGCAAGGAAGGCCTGAACCTGACCTGCGCCAACCGCATCATCAACATCGATAACTGGTGGAACAAGGCCGCCCAGCAACAGATCTTCGGCCGCATCGACCGCACGGGACAGACCAAGAAGATGTACGCCGTCGTCATCAGAGCCGCCGACACCATCGACGAGCACATCGACGACTTGCAGGAGACCAAGGCCGAGAAGGTGGCGCACAGAATGCAAGATGACCGACACGAGACGAAGCTCATGTCGTACTGGGAGGTAATGATGCACACGGCGCCCATGGCCTACCAGGCCAAGTGCACCCAACTGATTAAGGAGATTAGAGAGGAGGATGCTGCGGAGGCTGCACAGGGGGCGAGGCTTTGGGTAAAGGTCTGATTTTCGCGCTGCATTTTTGGTTTTCTGCAAGTTGACTCGGCATTATCATCGCGGAATATGGTGGAGCAAGGTAGCTTCACTCGTCTGGGGAAACATTTCCAACAGGCCTTGATGCGGAGTTTTTGGTCCGCAGTAGCAGGAAGTAACCTTCATAGAATCGCACAGCGAAAACATGCATTTTTATAGACACCTGGACGCCCCCCCGTCAATCTGCAAGAGCTTCGCTATCCACTTATAGGTATATGATAACATAGATAAAGATGATGATGATGATGATATCGACGACAACGATATCAACGACGACAGCAAATACAATGATGCTGGAAGTAACAGTGATAACAAGAACGATAGCGAGTATCATTTACATACTACTAAACGGGAACATAATATAAAATTACTTACATGCACACCTAACATAGCCAGCATATCGCCCAGGTAGCCACAAGGAAGTCCTTTTATTTCATCCTCCGATTTGCGTTTTTTTGGGTATTTTGCAGGCAGCATGAGCATTTGGTTGAGAAGGACGCACATCATCTACGGGAGCATACTCGAGAGCCCTCGCGCGGAGCTGATTCGCAACAGCATGAAGCAGCCTTCGAAGAATACCACAGCGAAACATGCATCATCGTGGACCGCTGGAATTTTCCTCCCTGGCCTATCAATGGAGGTGACTAGCCGTCCGACAGCCGTCTCCCATCCCACATGAATCTCCAAAAGCAATCAACCGCGGCAACGAGCAAGTGGCGGCAAGCAAAAGCGCCGTCGCGGCAGAGTCCCCGATGCAGCATCAAGATTCACGCATCGGCGCAACACTTTTCTCGGGCCGCGTTTCCGCCAAGAAGGTGAATGAGATCTAGATAAATGTCCGAGGTTGCCAATCTCTGCGACGGGAATGACATCAACGAACAGCAGGTCTGTGGAAGATCGCAACACCTGGACGATTGAAAGGGAGAAATACTGCACGGTTCGGCATGTTGATGGTCCCGCTGGAACATGGGTGGATCACACATTGGTGGGGCGGCAGATCGTCGTTGTCTTTTTGCCTTTCCTCTGGGTAAGGTCAGAAGGAAGAGGCCGAGGATGATGGACGTGTGACGGGTTCCGTCGCTGCCGGAGTCGAGTCCGGGGAGCTTTGATTTGCTCATAGACGTAGCGCATGAGAAGGGCAAAAGGTGTCGAAAAGATCCGTGACAGATCATCTGATGTTCTCGTTGTTCTTTGCGTGACCCCAGGCGTTTGCCGCGGCTCTTTCCTCCTCAGAGGTGGACTGTTGGGTTAATTATGAAACAATTGACGTAGGAGTCTGGGCTCACTTTCGACTCGGAGTCAGCACCCACCGTGTTCATTGGTCGCCTTGGAGTTGTTCGTCTCAATATGTCGGGAGACGTGACTGCTCGGCGAGCGGCCCGAGCAGACCTACCATTATGCAGAGTCACTTACAATTTTCATGGCATATGGCGAACGCGCTTTCGAGATGGGCAACCTCATCCAACAGTATCGCCTTTGAGTCAGAGTATCGGAGAGGTGTCTGTCTCGCTGGGTTGAAGTAACACCGCCCGGCATGTTCTACTCAGACGACAACGGTTAGTTTCCGCTTTGTGCCATCAATGTCATAGCTCCAGAGTCATAAGACCCTCCGCTGAGTTCAGCGAAGGTGCGTAGGGTCCTGATCGAGTACTCTGAGAAGTAGAGACATCGCATCAGCTTCGTAAAAGGATGCGCGGGGTTTTCATTCCATCCCATGGAGCTCAACCCGTGAACGCCGGGCGCAAAGTGAGAATTGAGAGGTATGCTAGGGACCCGAGGATGTCGTTCGAAAACAATGCCTAAATCAGGCTGGTCAACACATCACCTAGCATCGTCCTTTCTCTACACATCAAGGCATCTTAGATGCACGCCATGTGGACGCCAAAAAGTCGGCTTTGTCCCTCGTAACGTTGAGGAACTGTCCAAGCTTGCTGACTTTCTGACTTTTGCTTGTCAAGGAAGGTCTTATTGTAGAACGACATGTGGGGGTTGATTTCTGCTTGCGGCGGGCGGCTTTGGACTCTTCAACCCGCCGCGGACTCCACGGGGACCAGACGCAGGCGATGGCCATGACTGGCCCGAGGAGCCCGCATCTGGGGGGGCACAGCCGGTAATTGCCATAGCTCCCGGCATGTAGGTGAGACCTTGAACTTCAAGCCATCCAGACATATGGCTTGCGCAGGTCGGCTTGGAGCGCCTTGACGACTCTAATGAACCGCGCCCATCTTGGTGAGGGTTCATATCGTGCAAGGACAGCCTACATGGACGAAAATAGGGCTTTGTCGATGTCTTACAAGTGAGCGGCAACTGCCGTGGCTCTTGTCTGGAATATGGTTGTCTCTGCTATGTAGATGAATGTGTCAGCAAAAGGCTTGCCTAGACCGTGGGCTAGACGTCCACAGGGATCGACAAGCCCGTCCGAGGCACGAGAACAAGTACAATGAGGCACAAAATTGTCTGGTCTCGGAAGGAAAGGATAGCAATTGGATAATCCTTGTATGTATGCGACAGGCTCGCAAACCCACCTCGTGATGTGGGAGGAAGCCATCATCTGAAAGGTGGGATGAGGAGCCGAGCAACGGTTTTCTAAAACATAGTCAGGCAGGGACAGCTTGGACGTCAAACAAAGTGATCTGCTAGCTGAGGTAATAGAGATGGAGCGGGTATCTAGGCCTTTTGCTCGAGTGGGCTGGCAAAGGCCAAGGGACCGGCTTTAATGGGCAAATAGCCCGCTCGCAGAGTTGATGGGGTTTGACGACCGTGCGACGAGCATCTCGGTCTCGGTTTTCGGTGGCCAAGTTCGAGCGTCGGCAGAGGAGGGCACGGTCAGTGGAGATGGGGATCGGAGAGCGACGACGATCTGTGTGTGAAGCAACGTGGAGGAAGGACAACCGATCGGTTCGGATGAAAGGTGGCTCGCGGAGCCGATGGTAGCGGCAGTTGGTGCGTCGAGGTGGCGCCACGAGCGACATGGCCTGTAAAGGGGTCAGTAATGCAAAGATTTGAGCCAGTGTCATGAGGGGCTTCACCTTCATACCGGTAATCTCCATTCCAAATAGCCCGATTACCTGGGTGCGATGTTGAAAAATGTTGGTGGTAGTTGTGGCAGCTGAAAGCAGATAAAGTTCGTAGAGGCTGCTTGGATCTTGATTGAAAATAGGAATTGAGGGGACCCAAACATGCCAAGTCGAGGGCTGGGCTCACCAGGCGGATGTGTGGGATGGACAGTTTGAGACTGACTGGCCAGTGACTGGTAAGGGGATCCCGTCCATCCAATTGTCTGGTTGCCATCCTCGATGATACTTGCGTCCCAATCTAAAGGTTAAGCTTTGGAGCTGCGACTGGGTTGGCACGGCTCGCGGGAGGCGCGAAGTGCGATCAGCCAATCAGTGATGGTACGCAACCAAGATTGAGGGCAACTTCGGCAGATGTCGTCGGTCGAGTCGGCAGGGGGTCCCTTACCACCAAGGGGTGTTGCGAGGATGTTTTGTGGTTGTAGAGGAGATGCTCGAACACGAACGACGGGAGGCCGGGAGGTAACGACCAAATTAACCCATCAAAAGGGTGGAGGGAGACTGAGAGAGCCCGGGCATAAGGTATGCGCTGCACACGCATCTGCACGACCATCTGCACCCGCACCTCCCGGTCCTTGTCCTTGCCGTGTCCCATGGTTGCGCTGGACTGAACAGCAGCTATGTACGTAGTTTGTAGCTTGGATTCGTAGGGCAGGGCGGCTGTTGAACTGCTCTGGCAGCGACGGTAGCACGGTAGGTAGGCCGTGGGAAGCTGACACAGCCCACATCCCGCTGGTCACGGCCCACGAGCGAGCTCGGTGTTGCGGCAACATTGCCCAGATACGTCAAGGGCCGTCTGTTCCTTCCCGTGGCTGATGACGCGTGTTACCTCAAGTGGAATATGGCACCTGAGGTCAGACCTGCTTCGTCTGAAAGGCGCAAAGTATGGCAAGAGTAGCAGCGGTGACGGTCAGTAGAGCAAGTCAGACCGACGCAGGCATTTGGGTTAATTTTGGAACGCAACAGTTTACGAGCCCCAAGACCGAATACGGACTGCAGGCCGCGCTGGCTGCAGGCGACGCGGGCAAAAAGGGCAAACCTTAAAAGTGCCCCGAGATGCCAACGACTGCCGACGACGCGGAGTGTTCAGGTTCGTATGTAAATAGAGCGCAACGAAATGGAGGCGTCTCGGCTCGGTCTTGGTGAATGCAATGCGTATGTTGGCATCTCGAGGCAAGGTCGAACGATCAGCAGCGTCTGGGTAGCGTCGCATACCGATCCCGGCGGTGCCGAGAGTCCAGATGAGGGCTGCGGACACGCTGAGAGACTCGAGCCTCGATAGCGCGAAAGCCATTTCTGTGCTTGTGAATGCTTAATATCGAGGGCCTCGAGGCACCACACGGAGGGCAGGCATGGCACTGCGGTGGTGGTGCAAGGAGTAGAATGGCCGTACGCCGGAGGAGCAGCAAGCCGCATTTTCCGTCTCTCGTTTCCCAATGGATCGAGACCTGTCTCATGCTTGCCAGCAGTGGTCGACCGGCTGCGGTTGCCAGAGATTGCAGAAGAGGGCGATCCAACCCAGATCCAGGTTGAGTCCAATGAGAGACGAAATTAGGGGTCGCGTTTCCTAGGATTGCTGGCTGGAAAGGGGAATGCAGTCCCGAGTGCCGCGACAAGAAAAAGGAAATACGGACGTAGCCCTGTTTCCAGACGCAGGGAACGGCGCTCGCTATCAGACAGCGCGTGATGTCTCCTTGACGAGAGGTTCGTGATTCTGCCGATCCATCAAGGAGTTGCGGCTGCTGTGGTTGATTGAAGCTGCTGAAGGCAGACCGCCAAGTCGCTAGGCAATTGATTGACGGTGCCAGTGGATGGATGCATTTGATTAGCTAGGTATGTTGATGCTGAGGAGGAGGTCCGGTGCCAACGGCCACGAGGGAAATGGCGGCGTTTCACCGC